AGAGTAGAAATAATAAAAACTTTAAAAAACACTTAAAAGGCTAAAATGTACAAATATGATAAAATGTTTATAGATTTCCAAAGGATAAAAATTACAAATGAAAATGCTTAATTATCAAACTTTTAAAATTACTCAAGGAGGGGGCACTCTTGATACAAGCGGGTAACGCTTCTGGCTTCAACAAAACCGACTTTTGATGACTTATTATATGTAGTGTAGTTGTGTAGTGTGACAAGCGGAGACCTTAGTCTTGATTATCATTTTTTTTCAGCAGAATCAAGAAGAAGTTCGTTACCAGTCCCGCACGGAAGAGATCGATTTCTCAAACCCAATCCATGGCGACAACAGAAATGCGGCGACGTCAAAACCGTCGAACAGGGAATGGGCCGAGAAACTGAAGAAGGATTCCGACGGACTTGTGCAACACAACTTGGATCCAACTTTGGCCATCAAACGAAATGATATCAAGGTGAGATGTATGTTAGATGAAGCTTTAGGAGGAGAATTTGACGAGAAAAACCTTGTCAGCCCTCAGCCATTTAGTCAATCATTCACTCTTCAAGTTTAAATTGGGAGAGCTTCTCTTTAGTAGCCGTTACACGTATGTGGGTGGTCACTCAAAGCATCTTTCAGGGGAGAAGCGTTGTGTGACAAACCAAATTGCAAATGGCAGAAGCGATTGACTTAGGGCTTTGCGTTCCTTTGGGATAATCCAAATTAGGATTTAGGATCCGAGATCATTCGGATAATGGCGCATCAAATAAAACCCCGCTAGGTTAAGTCAGGGAATGGGCAACTCATGAGTTCCTTTGGGATGGTGCGTGACGAGCCGATGAATCCTGGTCCTGAGTGGGTTTATCGTTTCCTTTGATGCACCATGATCTGAGTGTTACAGGGTCATAAATCCTGATTTGGGTCATCCCAAAGGAACGCATCCTAGTAAATTGTTTGAACCCAGGAGTATCAGTAGTTCGTATAGTGTGATCTCCGGGTGAGGGTAGTTCTGGAAAGAACTGTTGTTGGTGACTGACGTTTCGACAACTGAACCTGAGCGGAAGTCATCTTCAGAGTCAAGTGAATGGTGTTTGTCAATCTATAGTGTTGTCAACAGGCATTGGTCGGTTTCGATACGGAAAGAAACTGACCATTGACTGTTGACAAACTTCGCACGAGCCGTCTTTCAAGCAATGCAATCACAGCCAAACTGACCAATCAGTTCTAGAGCGCTATTTACATTTACTCAACCAACCAGACTTATAACACCATCGACTGACAAACACTATTCATTTGACTCTGAAGATGACTTCCGCTCAGTTTATCGAAACGTCGGTCACCGTCAACAGTTCTTTTTAGAACTAATCTCACCCGGACGATCACACTATACGAACTCAGTTCTGTTTTCCCGTCGTCACCGCGGTCATCGCAAAATTGTTTTGGTAAATTCATAGTTTGTAGCTGCTTGCTTTGTTTTGCCTTAGATGTCAGAGAACCCTCTTTATTATCGTCCTTCCACCAATAATTCCGGCGGGAGTGAAGAGTTCTCCAAGGCGGTGAGAATGCCTGAAGAGGATGACATTGCGTCGGCTAAAGCACAGAACAAAGAAGAGAATCCTTACTCGGAACCCAAGGATGATGCCCATGGGGGAGCACTGAATCCCTCTTATGAAACCTCCCCTCCGATGCGGGTATCCCTCGATTATAAATCGGCTAAATCCCAGGGAGGGGAAATCGCCGAAGCTGAAAAGAATCTAAATGCATACTTGAAAGGTGCGAACGTCAAAGTTCGTGCTTCCAACGCGGCTCAACCAAAGAAGTTTAAGCGACAGAGAAGTGGCGAGAAAGCATCAAATAATGATGAAATGCGTTCACTAAAAAACAGCGAGGCTCCACCGTCATTTGACAATCCATTTTACAGCCATAATCCTACGAGTGACCAAGCAACCTCCAACGAAGATCCGACATACTCGACCATCCCTGCCTTGCAAGTTGGCCGGCCATGCTTACCGCCGAGGACTCTCGGAAGATCGTACGAAGCACCACCGGAGCCTATCGAGCTTCAGGACGAGGACGACACGTACGAAAAGGTTAACTTCGGAGACACAGAAGCGTGAGCTGTATTTTAAACAAGTAGTTTTCTGTGCCTTTTTTTCTACCCTGTTACACAGTACAATTTTTGATACAGAAAAATGAGTTACAGTGGCGTAAGACGTCAGGCGATTGTGCACAACTCAAGAAATGGAGCTGAACGAGACGTTAACTAATTGTGTGGAAGTTTTCGTGGTTGGGATAATATCTTTCTCAGTTACGGCGTAACCCCAAAACTCGAAACTCGCATGTAGAGAACAGTTTTACTAATCATAAAATAGATGATTTACAAAACCACGACAACGACAACGAGAACGTCACTAAACACGTGATCTGCACGTGCGTTATACAAGTCGCTACATTTGAGCATTCTTTGCAACTGAGTTGAAATGATTAAAAGGTGAATTTTCCATATTTCTACTTGGACAGGCTGGAACGTTGTCTTTGCAAATTCCTGTGTAAGATAGTGTAGCGGCGCGAGAAATGATCGTCATTCCGAACGTCTTCGCTGTGATTTCAAACTCTGTTCTATGCAGCTCTCGTTGAAACTTGACTCGCAGTGCAACATGCATGGTTTTCACGAAAAATTGTACTGCGTAAGAGGGTCTCAAGGAAACGTCTTTCAACGCAATCAAGTGTGTGTGTAGCGTTTTTGTTGGTGCATTTTATATTCCTTTTTTTATTTTTTACTTATTTTTTTATTTATTTTACTGTACTTTTTTTCGTTAGCACATGTAATTGCAAATTTAGCTAAGCGAGGTTTTCAATGTACTTAAAGCTTCGAGATTTTAGTAGTTAGAAACACTGTGTGTTTTTGTACTAGTCTCCCATACCAGGTTGTGGATTTCGTGTATTTCTTAACAGAACTATATATGACATTTTTACTTGTATACGACACGCACTCTTTTTTTATAACATCGTTTGTATTGAGGCTGAGGGTGGAAGTTTCTATTTTTCAACGATTTGGTCCTGAAAATGTTCTTTAGAGATTTGTATTTTTGAAGTTTTTTAAAAAGTTGAATTGCAATAACTCTTGGTTAAGTCGCTGTCACGTGACAACAATGTTGATTCCCTGGTACAACTGAATTAAGCTGATTCGTTCTGTATGTATATTTGTCATTTTCACACTAAATTTATGGGAAAAATTCAAGATTTTTGCCAAATGTTCATTAAAAAACTTAAAAATTAAAAGAGAGTGCACGATAAGTTGAAAACTAGTCAGACTGTGGTTGGTATACTTTTTTAAAAAGTTTTTTATCGTCATTTTTGTATGGTTTACATACACTTCGACATAGTGTTGTTGTGTTAACATTAAAAAACCACTGGCATCATAGACCAGCAATAAAATCATAGCATTGTGATATTATGACGTAAGTTTTTTAATTTTTCGAGCTTCAAGTTCTGTAAGGGAAGCTAACGACATTTCGTGAGTTTCAAATGGTTCGACATCATTTTTGCGGCATGCAATTTCCTTGAAAATACTTTTGGAAAAGAGCGCAACATTTTTATAGTGGATCTGTAAACATACTGCATTCCTTTGCAGCAGACACAAGTACCCATTGGGTACCTATTTGTATAGTGGACATGTTTCAACAGTCGACTGTCATCGTCAGGTACGACAAACATCACACAATGAAGTATGAATTGACTTCGTAGAAAATTATCACTCTCCATCTGCTATTTTAATAGACGTTATGGAAACATTGTAGAAAATAATTTTAGAAATATCTGGTATTGTTGCTGATGTATATTTAGCTCTTGTGGTAATAGTAAACCCTAATACTTGTAGTTTATAAATTCCTGTCGTTCCTGTAAATGTTAAGATAGATACTTTTTAACCGTGTAAGTATTGTAGAGTATTAGTTTTATTGAGTGTAAATACATGTATACTCTGGTTAGTGAACGTAAAGGTATGTATTATGGGTACTTTTGGTACGAGAGGGTTATCCGAAATAGCAAGGCCTCTTTCGAGCCTAACAAGTAAGAATAAATAGAGTATTTATTTTAAGATAGTTTTAAAGCAAACGCTGACGCTGTTAAAGGTATTAAGAACCATCGTATCGTTGCTGCAGAGTCACACTTTGTAAAATGTTACCGTATTTGCATTCGCAAAACTCTGTCGAATAATAACGTAAAGTGTCACACTACTAGATTAGATTTGTTGAAACGAAAAAACACTGTAAAATACAATGATAAGTAAGCCGTGATTTAGATTTTCTTACTTCTTGACCACATCGCGATCATTTGCATAACATGGTGGCGTGAGTTTTACATTTTGTAGGAGCTTTGTATTATGTCACGAAGAGCTTCACCCAGCAAAAATTTGTAAAATTTTGGAGAATATTTGGAATTTAATTTAATGAAGCGAGAAAAGTCGGCATTAGTATAAATTTACTAGCGGTCTATCACGAATACCGCTTTCTGAATGGCCACGCTATACTCACTATCTATTCTGTTGTAGATAGTGAGTAGCGTAGCAATGTGCGCCAGGTAATAAACTGGGCACTTCTTTGCGTTTTCGAAGTGTGTTTGAAGAGGATTTAGAGAAGGTTCTGCACGACTAGCAGATTTACACTGAAAACAATTAGATTATTCGCTCTCGATTTCCACGCGAGATAGAAATCTCGAGCTCATAATCTAATTGTTAATTAGAAATTACGGAAAAGAGAGAAGGGACTATTTCCCTTGGTATTTGGTTTTTATCTCTTAGCGGTATTTACTATCCGTTCGTGGTAAGTTGAAAAATGTGACGAGGCTTACGGAAAAATGTCATGTGGAATTATATATTATTCTAGTAATGAAAGAAATTGTAAATCCAGAATTTTATAAAATTATCTAAATATTACGTCACGCACATGGCACAATAAATATTAAATCTTTAATATTTCAGTGTTGTTGCCGTTCACTCTTGTGCACAGTTCTGCTGTCTTTGATTTCTTCAAAATGAACTTTTACCAGTCCCCCTACGTTATCGTGTAAGGTCCTTTGACTGTTGGGGGAGGGAGACGCGGGGACCAACTTTCCCTTTAACAGTGATGTCAAATAGTGCCCTCTCGTTCGGTGAACGGTCCTGTTTTTAGACCCCTTTCCGTGAAGAGAGATCTAGGGGTCGCCTTGTAACCACCCACATTGATCATCTAGAAAGTGACACTTGCATTTCCTGCCAATCATGGAGCAGCGTAGCGAATGGGAGAAAGTCATTACACGACTGCGAGTATGCACGACGAGTTATAATTGCCTAGTTCCTGTACGGCTTTCTCCAAGGCCTTCGCGGTCAATTCATTTCGGTGACGTATCCGAAACACTTCGCCCCGGACCAAGTAGTAGTGTGTTTTCATCGTTTTCTTTGTCTTTGTCTCTGACCACTTTTAGTTGTTGTAATTTTATTCCCGAAT